GCCTCTCGCGGCCCTAACTGGTGGTGCTGGTGGCCGTCTGCATGATCCGGCTGCACGTGTGCTCACCATCTGTGATAGAACAGAAGAGTCAAGTTTCAAACTTCGGAAATGATAAATTCGTATGACGAGAATGCAAGAAAGTTAAGTTTCCTAATAGTTCGGTAGACTCACGAAGATATGTACAGATGTCTCGGTATCGATCCGCAAGACTCTACTAAACTTGCTCATGACTCGTGCGACCTAAGCAACCTAGGGCTCTAATACCAACTTGTCACGACCTAACTCCTACCGGAGCCGCGATGGCGCCTAACACTTCTTGCTAGGCAAGCCAACAGTCACCAATAACAATAAATTTGATAAATACATGGTTTAATAACTTAATAGCGGAAATATCATGAATTATCTGATGAAAATAACTAAAATACTGCTACAATCATCCCAATGATCTGGTGTCAACGAGTACATGAGCACTACTGGATATCAAAAAACAAACCAAATCCTTTGATACAACTGTCTGAACAATAGAACAGTAAGATAAATAACTTAAAGAGATCTTTAAGGACAACGAACGACATATCAGCTACCACGTAGTCTCCCAAATGCTAGTAGCAACTCAACTCTGGAAATCACCTCGTCCGAAAGTACCTAGTTCTGCACATGAAGTGCAGAGTGTAGTATGAGTACAACCGACCCCATGTACTCAATAAGTAACAAACCTAACCTTGGGCTGAAAGCAGTAACAAGCTCAGAAAAAACAGCCAGAGACCAATATTAATAGCTAATAACAACTCAGGATATAAAGGAAAACAATATAAGCAAATAACTCAATGATATTATGTTCAGCTCGTTCACATATAAGGAATTTAGGCATGCTTTTAATATATAAAAATTAAAGCCCAACATGAACAAAATATTTTGTTTATCGGCTAGCATAAGGAAAGTACATCTCTATGCCTACATGTCAAATATAAAATAACACAGTGGATCCATCAATAATAATCAAACTTAGCACTGTACGGGTGCCTGGCATAACTGCACATCATCAAGCACGTATATAAAACATTATGCATGCACCCACTGCTAATCGTAATCACATAGACCAATAGTGAGGCCTGACGCACGCATTTCCCCATCACAATAACACTTATCCAATATAAGCCTGGTGTACGCGTCACCAAAAATCAATACCAAATCGGCTCTATGGCCCAAACACTGTCATCAACAAGTCAAGTCTCAGTTAACCACGTCTCGCAGTATTCAATTTCAATAATGTTACACAAACGAGGCATCAACAACACGTGATGAATCAAATAAGAAAGGATTGAGAGAGAGATATCATACACAATATAACATCATGACTGAGAGTATATGTGTACAATTAACGCAAATAGCTCAAAAACGACAAGAATAGCCCTATCAAGTCTCAAACAATTAGCATATTGCCTAGACATGATTTCTAACATAAATTTGATTTCAAATGATTATACAGGTTGAAAACACAGATATAACAAGGCATGATAGCAAAATAATCCTATAGTAGCCTAAACACCACCTCTAATCATAAACACTCTGGTGCACGCACACATGCCCGTCACCTAGCACGTACGTCACCCCAATACTTCTCTTATAACAGAGTTCCTAGGTTTAACCCTCAAATTCAAGTTTAGATATGTTACTTACCTCAAAACGCGTAAATCAATACGCCAAAATTCCCTTCCCACACGAATTGGCCTCCGAACGACTCGAATCTAGTCACAAATAACTTAATATCATCAAATAATGATGTAGGAAATAACTTCAAACAATAAAGCTTAGAGTTTTATCAGAATAAAAAAGTCAACCCAAAAAGTCAACCACGCCGCACCCCAGAACCCGAAAAAACTCACAAATTCTAAACACCCATTCAATTATGAGTCTAACCATACCAAACTGATCCAATTCCGACCTCAATTCAACCTTCAAATCTTCAAATTTCATTTAGACACGTTTTTACTTAATTCCCCAATTTCTCCAATTCAAATCACCAATTAAATGATAAAAAAAGATGAAATCATGAAAAATGGATAAATACGAGTCAAAAACACCTACTCCGATCCAAATCATGAAAATTCCCTCCAAAATCGCCCAAAACCGAGCTCTCTAACTCAAAATGTGATATAATAACTCCAACACTCGAAATATAGTTTTAAAACAATTTACCCTTCGCGATCGCGAAAATTCCTTCACGATCGCGAAGAACAAAATTCACCAGCTTCCCATTACTCCTACGCGGACGCGACGTCCAAGTCATGAATGCGATGACCAAACAACCCCATGCCTACACGAGCACAGAAAGCCGTACGTGATCGCGAAGGCTTACAGCCTGAAGCCCCCCAGCCGAACTCCCTTCTGTGCAAACGCATCCATCCTAGCGCGATCGCGATGACCACTGCACCCAAAATTTCACGAACGCGGTCACTGATCCGCGAACTCGAAGAACAACCCGCCTGCCATCAAGAACACTCTACGTGACCGCGACCCCTTCTTCGCGAAGAAGAAACCAGACCTGAGAACGAGCAGTTTGAAAACATGGAGAAATGGCCCCAAACACTTCCGAAACTACCTCTCTGATTCTCCTTCTTGCGCTCCGCGAATTCATGACTGCGTCCGCGGTGACACTTTCGCGGCCGCACTTTTCTGTCGCGGTCAACGTTCTACAGTTTTGGCCCAGTCTTTGTTTTTACTCCCTTTTTTATGTGGGCAACATTGGCATAATATTCTTTCACGAGGTATTCATTTGCATCTAGTACTGGGCTGGAGAACCATTTCCATCCTTTTCTCTACGTGAATTGCTTTAGAACATACCGAGGCCCTCAAGAGCCCGTCCAATCACATTATCCTATCCCAAAATATGATACGAACCTACTCGAGGCCTCAAATCACACAAAACAATATCGAAATCACCAATCGCACTCCAATTCAAGCCTAATGAAACTAAAAAAATTAGACTTCCAAAACTCATGCTGAACCATATCAAATCAACTCCGGCTAACTTCAAATTTCGCATGCAACAAATGATACAATGGACCTATTCCAACTCCTGTAACCAAAATACTCTCCCGACATCAACAAAGTCAGCTGTCGGTCAAATCACTCAACCTTTCAAACCTTCAACTTTCCAACTTTCGTCAAAAAGCACCAAATCAACCTATGGACCTCTTATTCAATTTACGGACATATGCCTAAGTTTAAAATCACCATATGAAGCTATTGGAGTCATCAAAATACCATTTCGTGGTTGTTTATACAAAAGTCAAATTCCGGTCAACTCTTTCAACTTAAGCCTCCAACCTTAGGATTAAGTGTCCCAATTCACTCCACGACCTTCTCGAACCCAATCCAACTACCTCGAAAAGTCATTTAACTAAAAATGAACATAGAAGAAGCAATAAATAGGGGAACAAGGCTACAATATACAAAATGACTGGACGGATCGTTACACATCTAGTCACTAACTGGATTCATAATCTACCAATGGTGTCATCAAAAGAAAGTTTTCCTTTAATCAATCTCCAGGACAAAAAGAAAATTTTAAAAGAGATACATGAGTGCTGAACCTTACTGCAAAAAGACTTAATCTATTTGTGTTTCCTAACACTCTGCCACGCAGCATAATTAGAAAATTGTCCATCCGTAGATGTTTGCCCAATAATGAAGTCGGGCTTGTTTCTATCTTCAATGTCTATTTTAACTATGTGTTGCACCATCCAGTTTAGTAAAGTAGCTGTAATTTCTGCATGTCCCATCCCATGTCATTAACGAATTCATTAACATTGATTTTAGGAGAAGTTTGTAATGCTGGGCATAGAGTAGCCAAGGCTCCTTTTTCCGAACCAATTGTCCCACCCAAAGCTGCATTCTCCATCTTGAAGTTTCCACAACATATTAGGTTTTGCTTTCTTTTTTATTTGCATAAGGCTAGTCCAGTTATGTGAGTTTCCTGAAACTGCTACTTTGGCCATCAGGTGTGCACTAACACAGTACTTGGCCTTCATAAAAGTAACCCATAGAGTGCGTTGGGATCTGATTATCCACCACCTTTTAACTGTAAGGGATTCACATATGTCAGACATTCTTCTAACTCCCACTCCACCTTCCTCAGGATAGCATAGGTTCGCCCAAGAACTCCAATGATAATTGTTTTTGTCCACAGTTGAGCCCCAAAAATGTGGCAAAGTGCCTCTCCATCCACTTAAGAATTCTTTTAGGAGGATTTAATATTGTCATGTTGTAGGTTGGTAGCGAGTGCAATACATATTTAATCAAGATTATTAAAACCCCACAAGATAATATTTTTCCTTGCCACCCATTCAGCCTCTTAATTATTTAGCCAACATGCCTTCAAAGTATTCCATTTTTTCCATTCTCACATATACTGGGTAACCCAGGTAGTTAAAAGGAAACTTTTTTTTGTTGAGAAAATCAGTTGCTTCTCTGATTTTGTTAATTCTATTGCTCCAGTTCTTGGTGCATTAAGGGGAAAAGTTTTATCCTTGTTAACCTTCTGACTCGAGTTCTTTTCATCCACTTTATCTTCTCCATTATAGCCTTGATGGATTTAGTTTGTCAAGCTCTAACCTTGGGAGGCATGCTGACACCCGGTGCCGCACTGGCCCGAGCGAACCACTTTGTAACTCATTTTTTTTTTCAAACTATCATGGGCCAACATGGCCACAACCCATAATGTACAATTATAAGTGGGCAACACTGTATCACAGAATCATTTTTTTCTTAAAACATGAATACATATGGGCCGTCAAGGCCTCTGACATATTGTACAAAATGAACCATTGTGTCTACAAAGCCTCTAAGATTATTTGACATCAAACGGGAGAGGGTAACGGCCTACCCATAAGTATGTAGCAAAACTCTGACACGATGACTTATAGACTCGGCTGCACTCCGAATGAGGTGGAGTCTTACCAATCCTTCGCTGAATGCTAACCTTGTCTACTATGAGGGCTCGTCAAACTGATTATCTATACCTGCAGGCATGAATGCAACGTCCCCAACAAAAGAACGTCAGTACGAATAATGTACCGAGTATGTAAGGCATGTAAATCAATATATAAAGGACATGGAAGAAACATGGAGTAAAGGACTCAACCTGTAAGTCTGGATAGATCTGTAAATCATGAAATATTTATAATGTCATGCATATGCGTGTAAATGTCGTGTAATGCATAGGTCTATACGTACATATCATCATCAAGCCTCTAAGGGCATCCCATCATATCATTTCAGCCACTGTGGGCAATATCATCAACGTATACCAGTTGATCAGGTGGTGGTGCGTATATAATGCCATAACCTTTTTCCATATATATATATATATATATATATATATATATATATATATATATATATATATATATATATATATCGTGGAAAAATGCACATGTATAAATGAATGCAATGCATAATGAAGTAAGACAATATGATCTCTTGGAATATTATGAGACCTAAGAATAGACAATATGGTAGTAGGACATATGGAAAATCAGGAACATGGGCAACCTTAGTACTTCTAAGAATACAAGCATTTTTGAAACTTGCGTGCTTGCTCGTTTCGTTGTATCATATGGATCATGCCAAAAAGAAAGAAGGGATAACCTTAACATACCTTAATTGCTCATAAGAACTCGAGAAGGTCGTAGATGAACATTCAACCTTGGATCATATTTCAAGAGAATTATCCTCAACTAAGGTGTTGTACGTTTGGTAACTCATTCTCCATAACTTAGCAAATTTTAGCAAATCATCTCCTGTTATACCCACAGATGTTATCACACCCAATTAGAAGGATTTCTAGTCAGAGAACTATTGAAGTTACGGCCCAAAACATTGGTGACTCACAACTGGAAACCAAAGTTGTCGAAAAGTATGGATTTTGTCAACTCTAATATGCACTAATATTGAAAGGACACATACATGGATTCATGTAATATAAGATTTTACAGTGGTCTAGAATATATATCTTTAGAAGAGGTAAAACATCATTCCCAATGAGTAGTAAGAAAGAAAATCATTTCTCACAATCACAACTTATAAGAATTGCTAATGAAATGTGTCTTGAACTTAGTTTGCCACCTAATTAAAAAAAAGACTTATGAGTCACTACTAATTCCTCCACTTGCTGCCATCTTGCAAGTTTTAATTTTAAGAGTCATCAAATGGGTATTGCATGGCTGCCACGTGGGGGTGGGGTGAGAATTTGGTGTTGAATGTGAAAATGCTATACTTAGTTGTCTAACTTCTTGTTCATGCGGATATGTTTGCAGAGAATGTTCAAGTTCTACTTTTTGCTATTCTAAGGACTAGGAGACAACTATTTAAAATTTGACAACCTCTCTTGCATGAGCTCCACGTGTAACTTTAATGCTTAGCAAGCCGTCCCAAAAAGTGACACCACCTAGCATTCACTTATTAGTCATACATTACTTTTGGTTGTCATGGTCCCACGTGGACAAGACAATTCTTAAACATACCTACTTAGTTAACCAATTATCTCAAATTACTTAAAATACTACTCATTTCTAATACACTTTATACACTTTACTATCATGGTCATGTGGTACCATACAAAATAAATACATACACTATTATTTTATTAAAATATTCATGTAAAAATATATATATTTTCAACTTCTAATTTTTCTAATCTCATATAAAGAGTACAATTTTTTTGTATGCTTAATTTTTAAAATGGTAAAAAGATAACCTTCTTTTCTTGTGAGAAAATAATTTATATCTTTACAATAAAAAAATTCTTTTTGTACTATAAATTCTCAAAACGAAAAAAGGATAACTTTTCTTATGATAAAATACTATCTACTCTTATAATAAATAAAACCTCATTTATAAACTCCCACACGTCATGTATTTAATTTAAAACTTATCACAACCATATAAAATCGTATCTATCAACTCTTACCGAAAATGGTTTACTTCAAAGAAAATACATATCAAGCCTACATCCCCATCTTCATGTATAACCTTAATCCCTTCCAACTCATATGTTATTACTTCGACGAATCCTAACGTTAAAGTACGGGATGTAACATCCTTCCCCCCTTTAGAAAATTCGTCCTCGAATGTTAACTCTTAGAGATTTGCAAAATTTTCACTAGGGTCTCCTCTGTAAATTAAAATTAAAACCCAAACTATTTTTGAAGTCTCGACTATTCACAACTTTTGGTGCTTGAGTATCTTGTATCTTCTTCACATTTACCTTACTTATTTTTCAATCTCCCATCGTATCTTCTGTTTCTTTCATAACCTCCCTTCCACATAAGTAGAAATTACATCTACGCCTTACGCCCCGAACCTGGGGAGGCGTGGCTGGCACCCGGTGCCGCACTGGCCCGAGCGAACCACTTTACAACTTTTTTTTTCTTTGTAACTATCATGGGCCGACATGGCCACAACTCATAATGCATAACTGTAAGTGGGCGAACACTGTATTAATATCGTTCTTAAAACATGAATACATATGGGCCGTCAAGGCCTATGACATACTGAACGAAATGAACCTCTGTCTATAAAGCCTCTACGATTATTTGACATCAAATGGGATAGGGTACCGGCAGACCCATAAGTATGTAGTAAAACTCTGACACGATGACTCATAGACTCGGCTGCACTCCGAATGAGGTGGAGTCTTACCGATCCTTCGCTGAATGCTAACCTCGACTACTATGAGGGCTCGTCAAACTGATTATCTATACCTGCAGCCATAAATGCAGCGTCCCTAACAAAAGGACGTCAGTACGAATAATGTACTGAGTATGTAAGGCATGTAAATAAGTATATAAAGGACATGAAAGAAACATAGGTAAAGGACTAAACCTGTAAGTTTGGATAGCTCTGTAAATCATGAAATATTTATAATGTCATGCATATGCGTAAAAATGTCATGTAATGCATAGGTCTGTACGTACATATTATCATCAAGCCTCTGAGGGCATCCCACATATCATTTCAGCCACTGTGGGCACTATCATCAACGTATACCGGCTGATCAGGTGGTGGTGCGTATATAACGCCATAACCTTTTCCCATATCCCATATACATATATACGCGTATATAACACCGTCTGAGTCGTGGGTAAATGCATATGTATAAATGAATGCAATGCATAATGAAGTAAGAAAATATGATCTCTTGGAATGTTATGAGACCCATGAATAGACAATATGGTAGGACATATGGGGAATCAGGAACATACTTAGACACGCTTGAATATCACTTTACAGGAATGAATAACATAGACATCCTTAACTGCTAAGAGTAGAAACACTTATGGAATAGTATTACGTTTACGTATCGTTACTTGGATCATGCCAAAAGAAGGAAGGGATAGCCTTAACATACCTGAGCCGATTCTCTTAGAATTTGGTATGGAATCGTTTTGCTTTCTTACTTACTCACGATCAGTCCACTCTACTTACACAAGAAATTCCATTAAATTTGTAAGGCATACATCAATTCACATTGAAGAACTCACGTGTTTAGCCTTTAGAAACTCACCAAAGGATAGAAAATATTTTGAATTAAAAACCTAAGGCTTTCTCTCAATCTCACGTTTCTGTACCCTTAAAGCTAGGTGTGATGCTTGTTCCAAGAACTAACATATGATATCATGAGCAGAAGATAAAAAGAAAGATATATATATATATATATATATATATATATATTGGGATGATGATAAGATCACATAGAAAATAAAGACAGGGATGACTACATAGCCATACTTCTTCTCTAAATGCCACCTTGCAAAGTGATCTAATAGTCACGTAGGTGTTATAACTCATCCTTCACCTTGGTGCCACCAAGGTATATGGCTTGAAGAGTCACTAATTTGAAATGGGGAGGGGCTGCCACGTTTGGGTATAAAATCCTTATTAAACTTATCCACAATTATCTTAATTAAAGTGGGTGATGACTTGCCACAAAATCCCTCAAATTTTGCCACCTAATTCCATGAAATAAGAGTCACACTTTGGCTTTGATGAAGACTCATTGTGCTGCCACGTTTTGGCTCATTACCCTTATCAAAGACTTTAATAGTTAAGGTATATAAAAAATATCTCATAATATGTACGTATAATAACCAAGAGTTATTCTTTTATATTTGACCCAATCAAAGATAAGAATTCATATTGTGATAAGACCAAAAATACGTGGAAGTAAGGCATACATAGTAGTAATTACTATCTTTATAATAAAAAAAAACTCATTTATAAACTTTTTCGTATTATGTATATATTAAAATATATCCGGAAGTAGTAAAATATATTTTAAAAAGGGGCCTTTAACCACTTACACAAGTCATTAAGTGAATACCCATTTGATTAGTCATCAAAACCCCATTTACATGTGTAAACAATGCACTTTAAGTGCTATGACTCATATATGCACACTTTGTGCCACCTTTATTTCTAGTAGTGCTTAGTCACAAAATGTTGTCTCCTACAACTACACATGGGATCCTCCTCCCTCCATTCTTTCCTTAGATGATGACACATAGGTATATACTTACACTAGTCACCTACTAAAATTAGACACCCATTCCATAACCTCACCTAATTTGCACACGTAGCCACCCCTTTATTCTACCTAATAAAGCACTTTAACTCCTAAGAGGTCACCTACTAACTTGTAATGCTTAGTCATTCTAGCTACTACGCGTGGATTAATGTCCACAACAATAATTACCTACTAATTAATCAATTAATCTTCCACTAAAATCCAATATTTAATCAATAAGCCACATAATAATTTCTATGTCTCGTTTCACTTAAATACTACTATACTTCATATACCTTAATATCATGGTCACGTGGTATAGCACTAGTCCATAAACACGAGGTATTATAGTCTGGACCGTATTTTATCCCAAAATATCAAATCATAAATACTTATAACCTCAAAAATTGTCTTGTCCTTGAACTTATATCAACTATCTTATGACAAATCCAATATAGAAAAGTACAGGATGTAATAATTTTCACTACTAAATACCACCAAATCATCTGTATATGCCAAATGGTTGATGGTGGGACTTCTACTGCTCATCGAAAATAGAATGAAATCGTCACTATGATTGAGCTGATCCAGAAGTCTAGATAAGACCTCTGAACCAATAATGAACATAGAATGGGATAGAGGATCTCCTTGATTGATCTCTGTGATGATGTGAAAAATTCAATTCCGTACCATTGACTAAGATAGAATACCACATTCCATATATTTGTTTCCCAATTATTTTTATAATTTTCTCATTAAAGCTAAATTTCCTTAGTACCGCCATAAAAAAAAAAGGCGAAGTCATTCTATCATATGCTTGGACATATCCAACTTCATCACCATGCTTCTCCCTATGTTTTTCTTATTTATGTCCTGGACAATCTCCTGAGCCAACTGGACATTCTCTGTAATGAGCCTACCTTTCAACAAGCCACTCTGATTCTCAGAAATCATTATAATCACCATATGATTTAGCCTTTTGGATATAATTTTGGTTATTATCATGCTGGTGAAGTTATTCAAGGTAAAAGGCCTCAGTTCAAAGAAGCTAGAAGCGACTTCCACTTTGGAAGCAACATCAGAAGGGTATAAGTGAAGAAATTTGTCAATGTTCCTCCATTAGAAAAACTCTAGGCAAAATCAATGATGTCATTTTTGATGATATCTTAGCAACTATGGAAAAAACTCTTACTGAAATCATCTGTTTCAGTACAACTACTAGCGCTCATACTGAACACTGCTTTCTTGATTTCCTCTTCTAGTGGAGTGCATGAAACCAATTCACTATCTTTATCTATAATTAATGTAGTAAGACATTGAAGGATTATGTAATCCTAAATCGGTTTTTTAAGAGGGAAAAGATCTTCGAAGTATTTTATAGCATCTTTAAAGATGTTCTCATTTCCACTCACCCATTTGCTCCTCTTGTTCTTAATTCTATGTAATTATAGTCTCCTCCTCCTTTCTCTAATCACTGCATGGAAGTACTTGCTATTAAAGTCCCTCTCCTTAAATAATTCTAATTTGAGATTTCTTCTCAAGTAATGATTTTTGCTCGTTGAGCCACATTTTATATTCAGCGTGCACCTTGTTTATTTCCTCCCTTCATTGCTCAGTGTTGTACAGTAGGTTTATATCTTCCGGATTATGTACTTTTGCTTCCCTCTTTTTCACCCGTTCATATATATCTCCAATTGTTTTCCTAGACTACTGACTCACTCCCCCCCATCTTCTTGAGTTTTTGTTGCAGCCTCCACATAGGGTTACCATCAAAATGGTGATCCCATTTATTTCTAATAAATTCAGTAAATCCAGGTTGTTTGATCTAGAAATCTAGGAATTTTAAGTACTTGATTCCTGTTTGCTTGTTTGTTTTGCATTTCATAAGCAACGACCTATAATATGATCCCGCTCTAGCATGGTATTTACTGTATTAGAGCTGTATTTTTGTGCCCAGAGATCATTCATAAAAACTCTAACCTCTTTCAGATTATCTTGCTAGGTTTCCAATTATTGCACCAGGTGACATTGGATCCGATAAATCCATTGTCAGCATTCCACAAGAATACATACATTCAGCAAAGTCAAAACTTCAGTAATTTTTATGTGGTTTTCCCCCTACCTTCTCTTCCGTATCATGAATAGCATTAAAATCCCCTTTGATGCACCATGCATCAATAATTCTTGTATTTAAAATTTCCAGACTGCTCTAGAGTTCTTTCCTCTAAGCTGTAGTGCATTTGGCATATACTGCTGTAACAAAGAACCAATCAAAAGAAATTTTTTTCCTAAATCTGAGATAAATCTGTTGTTCATGGACAAAGACTACAACAGCCTGACAACTATCCCTCTAAAAATACCAAATCTGCCCATTATAATTATTTGTACAGTGTTGAAAACTCAAAACGTTCTTGTACCCCTCCACTTTAATAGCATTAACAAAAGGTTCGAAAATAGCTACCATATCAACTTCGTTTATAAATGCTAGATTTTTAAGCCTATGAATGGATTTCTTTTTTTCTTAACCCCAATATTTCATATGATTGCACTTATCATAAAAGAATATTTAGGAGTTTTTGTTCCCTCCACCCCCCACCAGAAATTTCTGCTTTCTTTTTGTTGCTCTTAGAGGATTTCTGATATTTACTTCTCCCCCTTTTTACTGGTAAAACACCATTTCTTCCACATACTTCCTTCATGTGTGATGTGCATGATCTTCATCATTGTGATTTTTATTATGTTCAGACACATATAAAGAGTCATTAATGATTAATTCAACATGCTCTTCATCTGTTTCCTCCACAGTATCTTGTGAGTTGTGTGCATTACGGAGTTGACCAAAAATATCAACTACCAAGTTTATTGATATATGACTTTTCACATAGGATGGAAGACAACTGCTTGATTTAGAGACAACAACTTCCTTCCTCAGGGTTTTAGTAATAGATCTGCTAGAGAGAGAGGCGCTAGCACGAGTACATAAGTATAAGGTCCACTAGTGCTCACAATTATTCTGTTATTATCTCATGCCCGTTTAACTACTCCTCGAGACATTTGTGCTGATGGCCCCTTGAAATATAGCAGGAACAACTTCAATTGCCGTACCCAGACGCCGGTCTCTAGAAGCTTCTGGAATGTTCAATTTGTATGGCTCAGTGATGATAATATATTGTGTGCCACTTCTGATGATGCATGCATTCACAATATTAGTTGTCGGGGCCTTCTTGAGATGTTGAATAGCCTCACTGAATTGCTCATATGACCCTCCTCTATCAACCTCTTTCTCCTTCTTACTATTGGTTGTATCTTGACTGGATTCCTGGTCATGCACATTCAATAATTTCTCCCTAATATATGCGCTGATTTTGTCCTTTTTTATTGCATCTTCTTCTTAATTTTATTTTTCCTGTGAAAGCAGAGGTTTAAACATCACCTTGGCTTTCTTTTTTGGAATTTTGTTCAGTTTCTTCTTCTTCTTCTTCTTTTTGGCTATCCTAGCATTCGTTGTAGTCACCTCCTCCTTGTCAGCCTCAATTATGTTCTTAAATTTATTCACTTGAAGTTTTTCAATATGTTTTGTTCTGATTGCATTAGTCACCCCTTTCCTCACCCTTCTCCTGGATTTTGGCTAATTTGGCTATCACCGCTTCTTTTTCAATTGATTCTCCGTTAACCACATATGGGTTAGGTTTCTCTGTGACTTGCATTAAATTTTAACTCTTTTAATCTCTTGTTTTTAGGCTAATCTCTTTCTCTCCATAAATCTACAGTTGCTTAGATCATGCCCCAATTTCTTAATGTGTTTGCAATACTTAGGAATGATTTCATATTCTACCTTCTAGACAAAGGAGAATCATCATCCTCCGATCCCACATAATCGCTTGTAGGCAAAGGTTTAAGCAGATCAATTTCAATTCTTACCTTAGCCATACCCGGTCTAGTCCTTCCTCTTGTTTCTAAATCCATCTCCAATAGTGTTCCAATATCCTTCGCAATTTGTTTCACATAGTTCTATGTGTGCATATGAAATGATATTTGTGGTAGTAGTGCCCATACAGGAAAAATGTGGATGTCTTCTTTCTGCTTGAAATCCGAAGACCATTTCAGTAGCAACATTTGCGGTCCT